TATATATATTCGACGCACTAGTCTACGTCACGACAATGGATAAGAGCAAAATGGCTTATGACCAACTACGACAGCAGATCAAGCATTAATCGTTATCCCGGCAAGAAGTAAAATATTCTACTGAACCATGAACTTGTAGTTTTGCTCATTTTTTCAAAAAAAATTTTCAGAACAGCTTTTATGTAGTCATTTCGTCACCACATTTTAACTTGGCCCAAATATAGCGCAAATAGCCTAGCTAGTAAACTATCTCTACCGCTTTTTTGTTGCCGGATATCAGCAAAATTCAAAGTGTTTCAACATTGCTTAGCATTTTGTTCTTAGTATAAAACTTAAATTTTTTAACTTGTTTGTAACTTGTAACATGTCTGTCACTTCGTAAAAGTTGCAAACATCTTTTAAAAATGAAATAAAACACTAGCAAAAACTTTTTCAGATTACGTTGTATAGCTAGTTTTGTCTTGACATTAAATGCTGCTATCTGAAGCTGAAAGACAATGTACTACAGACAGCTGAGCAAATATTTCTCTCCGCTGAAACCAACGTTTCCTTCTGCTATAGTTGGTCGACTTGAAGAAGGGTAAGAAAAAAAAGCAGTCAAAACAAGTAGACCAAAGATGGCTCAAGAATTTGGTGAATGAAATAAAGCAGCAATTCATAAAATATCTGTCGTTATAAAACACTTATTATTTAAGATTATTACATGAATAATATTGACATGGTTTGTATGACCAACTTCGTTTTTGTTTAGTTCTGTTTAAAACCAAATGCATCCTTCAAACATTACATTATAAAGAAAAAAGCTCATTTAAAAATGGTTAGCTGTTCATTTACTGCCATGTTTTTACGACCTAGAAGTAAATGAAAAGAAATTTCCTGGAAAGTTGGAGTGGCATGATAAGAAACTAATACAAAATCTAACATTAGAATTTTAAAAACAATACAGAATACAATACAAATAAAAAAAGAAAATTTTGAACATGCTGACAACTGTTTGCAACAATATCCACTGAACTTCTTTTGCCATTCATAAAATGCAACGAGTAACTCTTGCCTTATTAATTTCGCTAAGTTTGCTGAATTATGCATCAGCATAAGATTTTACATTTCAACCACGCCCACATTCGGTGAGCACGGAAACCAGGAATTCCACTGCCCTCCACTGATCCACCTGGAAAATTCAGTTCTATCAAAAATGATAACAATTTCGAGATTTTATTGAAGGTCAAGTGTAAAGCTCCGGAAATGAAAAGACCAACACATTAACAGACGGCGATAACCGAGGCAACTGTCATCAGCTTACTAAGATTACTCACCATTTTGTTAACTGCCTTTCTTTCTGTAAGTTTTCGGTCTTCAAAAGCAGGAAAGTAATCTGGAAGAAAAAGGCTTCAAACTTTGAAGCAGTGCTGGAAACTGCAAATTAACAATAGATATTCATTGAAAGACGAAATCTGTGAACATATCAATCAGAACTACTGAGAGAATAAATTGCATAAACGTTCCTTCTTCTATCATCATCTCTATTGTCGTCTGTAATCATAGCAATACAACTGTCATTATAAGGAGGGCATCGGGTGAGCGGAACCAAAGCCGGTTCTGTATCATGGTAATTTTTTACTTCTGAACCGCTTATACTTGGCAGTTGTTATGATGCAACTGTGGCTAATAAATACAATAGAATAGTGTAGCTACAATGACGTTTCCTCATCCTACACCACTCAAATTCTACGATATCTCAAAGCGGTCACTTTGGGTAGCAATTCTTCCAACTAAGACACCAATTATGAGTAACGACGACTCAACAATCTAATCCAATCGTGTTTTGCTGGACCAGTGTGTTGCCAACTATTACCGCTTGAT